ATCATGAATACAACAAAGATATGAAAAAAAATTCATGCAAACTGTATGAAGAACATTTTACTCGTATGCACTGTGTTATTGATTTTAAAAAGTTTCATAAAAGTAATCCAATTCAGGACTATAAATAGTGAACCAATAATACAATTTCAATCACGGAGAAAAAGTTATTCGATTATTTACTGTATTTCAAAAAGTTAATGAATGTCGCGGTACATTTTTGAATGACATGCCTGACGTAGTGAATGAGACATTCATTCGTTTTCCATATTCACTAGGATCGAGCATCATTTTTCTGACTCGAATTATGTAAAGGAAATTAATAGATTTTGAGTTCAATAGGACAATTTTCTTTGTCACATCTTGACAAGAACATGAAGGAGTTCAGCAATTTCAGAGAAACAGAGATAATTTCTTGGTTTTGAGATCATCATTATTTCCATCTATGTGATATTTTTCTTCAGAAACAAGCAGTCAATTGCACGTGTTATTCAAGGATTTCCCAGAGTAATATTACTACAAGAGAAATATTATCAAGTCCTTTGAATCAATGAACTCAACTCTGAATCTTAATGCTGATAAACATTTATAATGCATCTAAAAGAAGAGAAATCTGATGACTCTGGATACTCACTTGGACTACTTAAGCGCATTACTGGGTGATCGTGTGAATGACTTGGAACATTATATGATCTTTTAGCAGACCAACATAATTGGCAAAAGTCAACATTTTGACAGGCTAAACACTTGTACCGATCTCCTTTTATTGGTGTTATACCACATTCGTCACAAATAACATTCGAATGAATATTGCTGCCAAAATCTACTTTAGATACATCATGCTGCTCGAGAATGGCTAAATAGTTCTTTAATATTCCGATGAATTTGAAGAAAGTACCAACAGACATTGTTTCTCCTTCCATAGTAAACATTTTGTATAGGCTTTCGGGTGAACGTTCATAAACTCGACGGAGTTCAACTAAACCTTGACCATTAATGCCTTTGAGTATTGGTAGAAGATTATTGAGATCATTGTTGGTAAGAAATCCAATGACGCTTTGCTCGCTCAAATTTTGTATTTGATCAATTGGACGATATTCTTGTAAAGGTGATCTGATCGTTAATCTTTCTTTTCGTGTTGATGATCTTTCTAGTGAAACTGGAGATTGGGGTTTTGATGGAATTCGAATTACTGCTATGGGTTCATGTATATCCTCTTCCACAGTCTGAGCGTGAAGAGTCTGGAAGGACGTTTCTGATGAGAATAAGACGGCTTTCTGTTGTAAATTTTCAAAAACAGTCTGTATTCGATCATTAGAACCCTGATCTAGGGCTTTCGTCGTCAAGCTACAGACGTCGTTGGCATTAAGATCGCTGGTCTCAATTCTTGGAACTGTGGAACAGACTGTATCTTTTATTGTTTGAGGTGTAGCTGGCTTGGATGGCACGATGTTTGGAACGGATGAATCTGTAGTAGGCTTGATTAACTGTAAGCCATTGTGTTGCAGTTCGTTGAGAAGCATTGCGTAGGCCTGTTCAAAGTCGACATCCAATTTCTCGGCAAAATCGATATATATTTTATTGCCGGCGATGAAGCCAAGCCAACCATCTGCTTTATATTTCCGTTCAAGCACGATTGGAATTATTTTCTTCTTGCGTTTGAATGCATACTCAGCCTCTGCTTGGCAATTGTAACTCTTCTTGTAGCTGCTCGACATACACATGAGAATGAATTGGGAGTTTTCGATGCCTTCAGCCATTCGCTCAGTTGTTGAACCAAACATCTGATAAAGATCGAACCATACTCGATAACCGTTAAGCACGAAGCGCTCATAGATTTTTTGACACAGCGGTTTATTTTTATGGCAATAAGAAATCATTAGATGGTTAATATATGGCATAGGACAAGTATTCACACCAGCACCACCTTCCAATGAACGAAGACATCCATATTGAGAAATTGGGAAAGACAATGGAGAGGCTGGTGACATCATTGGCGCGGGCATCATTTGCATGGGCATCATCAACGGTAATAAAGAATTCTTTTTTCTTTGTTCTATCCTCTTTGAGAATCTTTCTTCTTCTTGAAGTTTCCACATGATTCCGTTTGCTGCTTCATAAATTTGTCTTATGTTTGATTTACGCAGACGTTTGACGCGATCAATGAAGTCTGCGTACTTTTTTTTCTTTAATTCTTCCTTGCCCACTTCAGTGAAAGTAATTGCATAGATAATATTGAGCGAGAGCTCATTGTCTGGTGACCTTTCTATGTGCCTGATCAGCGGCGAAAGACCATTCTGTTGAACTAGCTGCACACGAATGATATTGTGTTGTGCAAAACCTAGATAAAAAACATTGCATAAATTACTGAACAACAGTCAGCTTCGTAAAGAAGAATGAGACATTTAAAAGATCATCAGCTAACTAACTTGTGAGTCCATAAAGTAGCTCTTCGACTTTTTCATTACATATGTCTTCATTGGTCGTTTCACTATGTACGGCTTCGTCCAACTTCTTGACGTAGAATTCGACAATCTGTCACAAAAAAGAAAGAAAGTCTCTTGTTTCACTGAAAAAGCGGCACACAGCGAACCTTGTTTATATCAGCCATTTCAGAAAATTGTTCTTCAGAAACTAAAAGAGCTAGAAGCTCGAGGGCTTGAATCTGAAGATCATCATTTTGATCACTTTTACTCAAATGTTGCAAATCGCCCAGCAGTTTTCCAAAGTTCTCTTCGTCTTCGCGTATCAGATTAAAGAGTTGTGGTTCGGAACGCGCTATTACGAGCAGAATCCCAAGAGATAATTGAAAACTGGATGTCCACAAAACTTTTCTCTCGTTCGAACTCGAATTCGAATAGACCGATCCACGTTGGAAGATCTCCATACTAATGTCAACGAACCAAGCTTTTTTGTTTATATCAAGTAGAATAATCCCCGACGCAACTACTCGCAAAAGCAACACGACACAAACCAAATAATCATTTTCCCAATCATTGATATTCCATAGATTATAATTCAACATACATACATACCAATATGCATTTTGATCAAGTATTAATTGAGCAGATTTTCTGCTATCATCTTCGCATTTGATTACATAATCGGGACATGTAAGGAGAAGAAAATACTGCGTACTGCTTACCGGAAAATCAGCGACATTCATTGCACTTTCTTTAGAGAAATGCGATGTAGCACAGCGCAAAACAAATTCGATTAGAGCCTTGCATCTGCATTATACGTAACAGTAATGTACAATCGAAAAAAAAAACCTTATTCGACACTTACTTGATCTCTCCAAAAGCTTGCACCAAGCGACCAAATGAGTCCAGATTAGAATCTTCTTGTTTGTCAACCGTACGTAAATAGTAACCGCACGATGAAATATTATTCAAACACACTTTCATTGTTCTAAGTAAAGTTTTGTTATTTCGAAGTTCATTGCTTAGCGAGCTAGACATTCGCAATATCAAACTGCTAATGTAATACATCATCATCGACTCCTTATTATCGAATGGTATTTTATTTTTACTCCATTGTTGTAAAATTTCATTCAGTTGAGGAAAAAGTCGTTGAGCATAGAATCGATGATTGATATGAATTGATAGCAATGTGGAAGAAGCTTTACTCAGCTGTTCGATAACCTCATCTATAGGCAACAGATCATCGACGGCAGCATCAAGCAGACAACGAACTTGCTCTGTGTTCGACGGAGCAGCCATTTTATCACAAACCAAGAGTTACAGGTGAATATCAACTGCTTTTTTCAATCTTATGGGACATTAGTGTCCTTATTAGTTTTCTTCACTTACATCGCCGTAGGCGTACATCATTTTTTTCTCTTCTTTTTCTTGTTGATGTTGATTTATTGATTGATAGTGTGTTCCTTTCAACAAACCAGATATGTTGATTCATAACGTCATTCGAAATAGACGGTATGGGTGCGGCTCATTAAGAGTATATGTTCTGTTGATCTAATCTTATCGAAACTCTACATTCATAGCAATGCACACACTTGGACTGATATTCAAACCCACATCCACATCGCGCGCCAGATACACACCCAGTTTATT